GGGATGGGATGGGATGGGATGGGATGGGATGGGATGGGATGGGATGGGATGGATACTGCAAGAATTCCACATCCAAGTGTCTTTAGTCTCCAAGAACACACAATCACTGTCCATGTCTGAAGTAAATACACCTATGCCATACTCATCCCTAAAATTCTCTTTTCTCATGCTGTTCCCTTCACTGCCATCCACCTCAGGATTGCTGCTATTATGGGATTCCTCAGTGGGTTGATGCTTGACCAATATTTGACTTCTCTTTTTTTGTCTCCTGTGAAAACCATCAGAAACTAAGCAGAAACTAACCTTGATTTATTTCTTTAATAAACAAAATTAAGATACTTCATGTTAATAAAAATGAAAAGTATTCCCTAGTTGGTTTTTTTTTAAGTTTCCAAAAACAGTCCCATATCTCTGTCAAAGTTAATGTAACCAGAATTTCCATGGGAATTTCTGTCAGTCTAGGGAAACTGGAACTGGCTAATGTAAATAACTACAGCCCATCCTCCCACTGCTGTCCACATCACCTTGTGAGAAAGAAAATTCAGAAAGGAGAGTATTATCATGGGGGTCTTGTGGGTTACAACTCGGATGGGTTAACAAAATTTTACAGGAATGTTCTGTCAAAGCCAGACAGAAATTATTACAATGACAAATTATGACTTGAATTTCATGTGACTCCTTTTTCCTTTTTGGCACAGATTCCAAAATTACCTAAAGACACTGTAAGAACAGATCATTCTTTTATGATTTTACGAGTAGCCTTCTACATGGGCAAATAGTTTTACAGGCTGATATTTCTGTTTCTTTTAATAAGCCTAAGCTTGTAAAATATGTAACCAAGGAGTATCTGGCCTGTATGTTTTGGCTGAGGTAGGACTGAGAGTTAACTCCCAACTGCCTCTAAAATCCCCAAACACTCAAAAAACCACCCTGGATAACAAAACCCCCCTGTACCTTCCTGCACATGGCAACTCCATTTTATTGAGGTAGAAACTTCATAGCACAGCAACTCGTTAATATTAGCTGTTAAATATTAGTTCATATAATATAAAATGAGCTCCTATTTTATAAAGGGAATATTTATTCTAAATTATTCCAGATGGGCTTCACAATGAAACAGTGCTTGTGGAAGGACACAAACCACAGGCAGGCTGAGAGCACAGAGCTGCAAATGTTGTAGAGATTTTAGAGGAAATCACCACGTGTGTGGTCACAGGAGGAGCTCAATGAGCCAGGCAGGGAGATCGTGTCCTGCCGCTGGAACTGGCTTTCAGCTCTATTCCTCCACCAGGGCCTGAGAAATCCTGTGCCAGCAGAGCAGGAGCATCTGAGCAGGAGCTCAGAGGGGCTCCTGTGGATGCACTGGATCTGATGTGGATGCCATATGACATCCATATTTATATCATATAGCCCGGAATTTCTGGGGCTGGCAGTGCCAACAGTGGGGCATTGAGAGTCAGGCAGCAAAAGCAAGTGTGGCAGGGCAGAGGGGTTGCAGCCACGGTGATTTAGAGAAGAGTCCTTGCCAGGAAGCTGACACTGCCTTGGACCTTAATTTAATAATGCAAGGAACCAGCTGAGTATCAAGAAATAGAAAGCGACTGAAAGCTGCGCGTTAGAGCCCGATTTAGCCAGAGGAGCGCGGAATTCCCTGTCCGTGCTGCCGCTCCCGGCGCAGGAGCGGAGCCCGGCGGGGCACAGCCGGGACGGCTCAGTGGGAGCGCTCCGGGAGGGAAAATCTGCCCTGAAAACTCCCAGCAAAAGCATCTCCGGGGCTTTTAGCGCAGCCCTGTGTCCCGAGGCAGGATTAGCTTTATTTGTACTGCTCCTGAATGATGTTTGTTTAACCTGCTCTGGGAGGTCCTGGTGATGGACACGGTGCAATCCTCAGTGCTGTTCTCACTCACAGGTACAACATTATTTTGCTCCTCCTGTATTCCAGTGGTCCTGCAGGACAATGCAGGTCTGTTCTGTGCATTTTACCATTTCCAGACTGGGTGATTTCACCCTTGTCCCTCTCCCCGTGGCTCCTGACAGCAGTGTGGCATTTGTGACTCCCTGGGATGCACCGTGACCTCGAGGGCCGCAGGTCAGAGCCTGTCCCTGGGGTGCTGCCTGCTCATCTGCTGCCTCATCATAAACAGGGAGCCTGCAGACATTTGTGAGAGTGTCTGGGCAATTATTGATAGAAGAAATTGATAGATAAAAGAAACGTGGTGTGACTCATCCGAAGCTTGTCCTTCAGACAGCAAGTCCTGGCTGCAGCATGATCTGGGCTTATCAGGAACGGGAGCAGATAATAGGTTGAAGAAACAGGAGCGTGACTGAGTTAATTGAGGGTCTGGCTGAGGGTTCCCTCCAAGGCTGCATGCTGATAATGAAATGTGAGAGGCCTGTAGCTCCTCGTGTTTTGTCTGCTTCTCCCTGCAGGGAGCATCTCATAGAAAATGTGTCTGCACAGAGAGAAAATCCAGATATAGCTAGCAGAGATAAACCCTGCTTTCATTCAACTGAGACTTGATTTGACCAGTTGAGAAGGAATTTTGAATCAGAGTGACATCTTTGATGCTGGGTCACTTTCATTTTGTTGCCTGGGATATTTTAATTTATTTATTTTAATGGCAGAGAATGAACCTGAAGTTACCAGAGCATCTCTGTACTTTGGTGACAGGAAAGCATCAGGCCCCTCTCAGGTTTGGCTTCAACATTTTTTATGCGAATCAACATCAAAACAAATTAAAAGTCCTAAGCTGGTGTATCAAGTGAACCTCTGTAGGCAATAACGTTAAGGACACAAACTGAGTATTCTCATGTTTTGTGCAATAATTCCTGTCTGGCCTTGTAATCACTATTGCCTGCCCTTTGGCTCACCATAAAAAAAAACAGGAATGGGAGATAAAATACCTCCTAAGGATGTATTATTACAGCTTTTCATCAGGGAATTCCCTGATCTCTGTTGGGAACCAGAATTCTCTGCTGAGAGTCCGTGTCCCTGGAGCCAAATTGTCTCGATCCTCCTTGTGTGACAGTGGCACCCCCCAGGGTAACCTCAAAACAGGAGCGGGTGTGTCGTGGGTGAGGGTGCGACCCTGGGTTTGATAAGCAGGGCTCAAGCTGTAGAGAAAGAGATGCCGGGGCCCAAGTAGTGGAAATGCTTTGTATTTTTATACAGGTGCATTTATTTTATAGTTGCACAAGCCCGTCCTGCCGAGCTGGCTCTGAGCTGCGGGATCAGCCTCACCCGGCGGGACAGCGGTGCCTTGTCCCGGGTGGCCACCGAGCCACGGGGTTCGTTCTGAAGCCAAATGTCCGAACATTGTCCCTGCGGCCTCACACCGCCAATAAATCATCTCCCGTGTTCCTCCTGCCCCTGCTCCATCGCTCGCTCCAAAAGCTTGGTCACGCTAACGCCGCCGGTGCCGCGGCGGGGCCGGAGCACCCTCCCTGTCCCTCCCTGCCGGAGCACCCTCCCTGTCCCTGCCGGGAGCATCCCTCCCTGTCCCTCCCTGCCGGGAGCATCCCTCCCTGTCCCT